CAGCCTTCTCTTCTCCAGGCTGAACAAGCCCAGCTCCCCCAGCCTTTCCTCGTAGGAGAGATGCTCCAGTCCCCTCCTCATCCTCGTAGCCCTCTGCTGGACTCTCTCCAGTAGCTCCTCATCTTTCTTGAACTGGGAGCCCAGAATGGGACACAGGACTCCAGATGGGCCTCACCAGGGCAGTGTAGAACACGTTTGGTATTAACAAAAAAGGCGGGATTCTTCTGTGACTTCAGTTTCGAAAGCTGAGTCCCGAGACTTCAACGTAAGCACCAACGACTGTGCAGCCCGGTTGAGTGTCTTCACACTTCGCACCCACGGAAGCTGAAGGAGATTGAAGCCGGACTCGCAGGCACTGTAAAATAAGCTATCGAGCTGCAGAGTGTGCTTGCGTCTGGGCTAGTTTTAAAAAGTAAATATGTGTATTTCAGTATCTGCCTGAAAATAGTGCTTTATTGTGGATAAGGAAAGTGTCAGGTAAAATTGAAGTTACTCGTAAGACTGTCTAGGTTCTCCCTAGCTAAATAGCATCAGCAAGAAAAGCAACACATTTCAGCATAGATATTCTGTCAAGAGCGTGGAAGTTCTACATTGCAAGTAAGAGAAGGTTTTCGTGAAAGAACATAAACCTCAGGTGCAGAAGTCAGCAGTAAGCACAGAACAGGAGCTGGCCAGATTAAGCAGGTCTGATTGCTGCCCTGTGCAGAGAACCATGGAACAGTACTAGCATGCAAAAGGGATTTCCTTACAGCAGGAGGCAGGGCATGGTCAGTAGAAGCAAACTTTCAGGTTTTCTTATTCTGCATTTTTTAAAATATTGCTGTAGATGCCAAGTGTAACTAGAATTCCCTCAAACCAAAGTTTCTAATCAGTCGGGAGACCGTTTCTAAACCATTTAGGAGCCTAACTAGGGATATTTTCTTTTCTTCATAGCATCTTCCCAATCAAAGCCTGCTCAGATACAAGCCACCTCTTTTTTGTCGTGGGTCAGATGCACAGCTTGTGCTAATTAACGTAGCTGCGCTGAAGGCCACAGACACAGCCTTTACACAGAAGCTGCTACGCGACAAAGACAAGCTTGGATTGTCAGATTACATGACAAATGTGTGAACGTACTTGTAGAGGTCCCAGAATGATTTTATGCGTTTCTGGGGATGGCAAAATACGAGTGGATTGAATGTTCTTGCTGTATGTCTAGCAAGAGCGATACTGAAGGTGACAAAACTGAATTAATTTCCCATAGACCTTTCTCGTGGGATCTCAAGTTGGCGAAAAGTGATTGTGACTCGATGAATGAGAATTCCACCTATTAAGAGGTGTCATGCCACATCTGGCAAAGAACATCGGCAGCACCGATCAGTTTTGTTTTGGTTTTTAAAGGAAGCTTTCAGTAATAGAAGTGAAGCAACTGCTGTTGTCTGTGGCTGGGAAACTGATGACTCAGACCCTATTCATGCTGCTGAAAGACTGTTTTATGAGACCCGTCAGGGCTGTGGGTGGACCTGGAGAGGAGTTTGAAGGCAGACTTAATACGCAGCGATGCCTGCAGCGGTGTCTGATGATTGTCCCATCTTACGCCGCTAATGGCTTGTCCTTTCTGGAGGTTTTCTTTAATCTTTGGGTGATGGGGCTGCAGAAGAGGTCAGGGCTGGGAATTTCACCGTTTCTTTTATCTAAAGAGGTGTACCGTCAGGTCAAAAAAGAACTGCTGAAGCAGCACTCTGCCATAGAAGGGGAAAGAAAGTATTGGAGTTTGCTTTGACCCTGCTACACCCCTGTGTGTAACCATTTGTAACTAGTGACATTTTCCCATCAATAACAAAAGGGTATATTCCAAACTTGATGAACAAGACTGTAGCTGCATAGCTCCCATGAATGCTAATAGGAATACAGCCTTTCTCCGTCCCCATGTAAGTTACTTTGCATATCCTAATAGCGCATTCTCAATGAGCAACAGGGTCAGTGTTAATCACTCCATGACATTCCAAGAGCAACTGCAGGGATCTCTACCGCGTTCCCCTTGGTCATGTTATGTCTGGTGTGGCTTGATCAGAGCTAGGAAGTTTAGAATACACATAGAAATATTGAAAGGATCTTAAGGAATGAATAGAAAAGAACTGCAAAGGAGATGCTGGAGGGCTGATATACCTTGTTAGTCATTTTTAGTCAAAAAAACACCCATATTCCTTCTGTCTGGAAATCATATACATGTCATGTGCCACCGCTGTTTTTGTAAATCTTCAAGTCATTCGATGATTTGGGACCACAGGGCTAGATTTACATTTAGATAGTTAGTGCCAGTATCTAAATGCATGTTTTCATTGCTTGAATGGCATGAAAAGCTATGACTCGTTAAAAGACTTGCACAGAAACAAATATAGAGCCTGTGTCTGTTCCTGCTTCCCTGCTTGGTACTTGGGAATGGTACTGAATAGGAAACAGCAGTGTCAAGGTAGATCTGCAGCTCCAGTAGAGTCCAAACGACATGTGAATTTATTAAGCGGTGTCTGATTGCACGATGTGCAAGCTGCAGTAAGAGGAGCAGTCCAAGAACCATAAAAGCATGCAGGAAGCAAATAATGCTATACCTGCAGACACTTGCAGAGCAGGCCATTCTCCAGTGGAAATTTTCACATGTATACATTCGACTGTAAGTATTATAATCTGGGCCTTGGTGCTCAAAATTTAGCAGAAACCCTTTTAGTTAGCAAGGTCCCAACAATTTCACTCTAAAACAGGTTTAAAAAGACCTCTTAATTTAATTGTTTAATTTAGTATTGTTATGGTTTTAATGTGAATAAATGAAAATTTGTCTTTGCATTGAGACTGTGATTGCCCCATTTCATATCTCATGTATTTACTGCTTCCCTTTGGTTACTCGACATGAATTGGTTACTGTTTAATTCATTTTATTTAAATTTAATATGTATTCATAACAGACATACGCTGTGTACCTTCCATAACACAACCAGTAGGGTGCATTGCTTGTTTGATATTTAGTTTTCAAAAATCTGTAAAGAACCATATATTTGCTTCTGATTTTTACTTTGCTCAGCTCAGGTATCCTCTGAATAAGAAAATCTACCAATGAAACCATGCGGTTACGGGAAAGACAGTATGCAAAATTGGAGTATAGACTCTTGAAAATTTATTTCAAATTGATCACAGATGGAGATTACTGTAAGATTCCGAGTTCCTATTTGTATACCTGTATTGATGAGCCAGATTTTCTGTAGTGTGATAGATGAAGGGTTTTTTTTTTTTTTTTGAGATTGTCAGAAATTCCTTCCAATTTTAGCTGGATATGTAGTTCAGTCCAGAAATAGCTATTACTTTCTGAGAAGTTTTCCCTGGGTAAATTAAAAAACCCTTTCAGTGCTCTCTTGTTTTTTACTCTTTTGCACTGCAATCAAGCCTTTCCTCAAAATATTTTTTTAAATGAATTAGACGTTCAGAGCTTGTTAACTTTTGCTCTCTGCTTTCTCTAGCTCTCAGTTTTGGGAATTTGATTCATTTGCATCCTCTGTGGGCTTCAGCATTGTTTTTAAAATGCGGACACCAGATCTTTGTGTAGTTTCAAATATCTACCCCATTAGTGCTACATACAAAGGTAAGTGATTCCCCCACACCAACTACTGGTCACTAATCTACTGTCGATGTATCTGAAGATCACACTAACTCTGTTTTTTTCCAGTCACAGCATTGCATTGGACATTTATGGTGAGCTGCTTCTCTGCTAGAGTTGCTTCAGATGAAAACGGTCCAGAAGATCATTTGTAAGGTATAACCTATGTTTTAGCTTTGAAGGTATTTCTTTTAATGGAACCAGCTTACCAGCTAAGCCATATGACTATAATACTGCTATTTCCTTTCTGCAAATATTGACATCACAAACATCCAGCTGTGATTTTTGTATTTACAGGAAGATAGCGTTGAGGAGCAGCAGATTTATTTGTAACCCTTGATGAACTACATAATAGAAGTATTTTCATTTGTTGATGATGAAATTTATATTTAGTTCATAATCTCTTGCCAGAGAATGCTTTTTGAGATCCACCAGCTAGTTTTTAATCCATTTTACAACACTGCACTGCTGACTAGCATTGTGCTGCTATGTCTTTACCATGCGGTAATGTGATTAACAAGTAACTCCTCCAACTACTCAGTTCTGTTGTACCAGCATGATCACTGTCATTCAAATTTGTAATCTTTCAGAATGAAACCAAATTGTATTGTTTGTTTAAGATCACATATTTATTGCGTTCGTTTCTTTTACCTGCTTATAGGTGAAATCCCACGTCAGCCTTTACATTATTTTGGCTAGGTTGCATTTATGGTCTAAAGTTCCTTTTGCATCTTTGGGAGTGATTGTTATGGGCATTTAATATATGGTTATTAAACTTGTCATTGTCTTGCCAACCCAGCTGTTTTCCCTTACGTCTATAATTTATACAACATAATTTAAAATGTCTGCTCTCTAGTTGCCTTTTCCATAACCGGTATACTGATTTATTTTTTGTTTTTTTGATTTAGTTTTTACTGTACTATTGCAGGAGATGCATTCTTATTCAAGTTTTTTTGTTGTTTGTAGAATACTGGCTTTTTTGTCACTCTCGTAAACTCTTCTTCTTAATTCTGAAGATAAAAAGCTTAAGGCTTTTGATAGTTTTCCTCCCACAGGAAGGAGCTGAGTGGTGTATGGTATTTTTTAAGCACTGGGATTTCAGCTGTGGCAGAAGCTTTCTTTGGCCTTCTTGGTGTGGATAATTCACTCTTACCGGTGGCACAGCTACGTAGGTCCGATTGCATCTTCATTGATACAGACCTTTCCTCAGTTACAAGCCCACCAGCAGATGAGTTTTTACTGTGGATGTATTCTATATTGGTGCGTTGCTACCTACAGCTACAGCTGAGAAAAGCTTTCACGGGCAAAATGTCCTTTGATGCTGTTCTGCTGAGTGGAAAAGAGCTCTTCCACAGGCCCTGATACACCTGTGCGGTCCTGTCAATGCTGCAGCCTCTTCCACCCTTCTGCTGTTCTTCCAACGTGAAGAGAGTCCTGTAGGCAAGCGAGGGAGCTGTCTGGAATATCCTAGCATTACTTTCATCCTTTGTTCTAAGCTCCTTGCGGCTGGAGTGGTGGAGTATGCTGAACAGCTTTTACAATGAGGAGAGGGAATAGAAGAAGGGAGCAGGAGCAGGAGCAAGAAGACTATCTCATGGCAAAGGCTCTGATTCAGAGTCTTAAAAGCTTTTCTGTATGAGCAGGTATGGCATTCACAGCCTGCTGTATTGGTAAACACCCAAGCTGTGTGTTTAAGGTGCCTTCAACTTTCACCTGTAATGGCATACAAGTGTAAATTAAACTGCTCAATTAACACACGCTGCTTCTGATACTAGTAGTAGTGATTGTTCTGTAATTGTAAGCATCTTGCTATGCTTTCTTTCAAATTTTCAGCATAAAGTTGGTTAAAAAGAATGAAAAATTTATCATAATTTAAAAAGAATGAAGAATTTATTACGTACTATAGCTATCTGTAGCCGAGAATATTTATCAGTACAGATCTTAAGAAACGGTTGTTTTTCATGCAAAACATGCTGGTTTCAGTTTTGCCTTTATCTATGCCATCTTTAGATAACTGCAGCGTATTTTAACAAATATGAAAGTACTGGTAAGATAAATCATCTCATTCAATTTTTTTAAGCTTTTAAGATATGATTACGAATGTCCGGTTTATGACATAGATAAGAGAGTGATCTGGTAGACATAGAAACTCTTCGACGGGTGCATTTTCATGAATTTTAAAACAGACTCCCTCCACCCCTGTTTTCTTACAACTTTTGTCTTTCTGTTCGATTCAGCTTCTATACGGGACAGCAGAATGTGTCAGAAACCTTTAAGTTCTTTCAGTGAATATCAGGCATGTTAATGCAAATACATTACGAGTAATCCCTCCGTAAGGAGGGACAGTCCATAGCCCACACGACATCAGTAAAGTGTTTACAAGGTATTAATATGCCTACTGTGACAAGATGTATTTAATGGCAAGCAACAAGGAATTTGTTTTATTAGTTTCCCTCCACCCTCAAGTAATAAATCTTAAAAGCTTCAATATTGATTCAATGAAGTGAATGGCTGAATCGTTCTGGAGAGGCTCTGACAAGTGGACAAATGCTTCCATGGTTACGTTTTGCTATGCGGTGTGGTTACTGAGCTTTGTTGGTTTCCTCCCTCTGCCATTGAAGTAAAATAACAAACCGCAGGGAACCACCACACATGGTGGGTATAAACTGGAAACAACTTGAAAAGATTGAGTTAGCTGATCTTGCACAGATTTTGGACAACCTGGGTTTTATTCATTCAGACTGTATCCCCTAAACACGCATTTCAGTGCTTTCTCCTTCGTATATCCCCTTCTCGTGGAATGTTTTTATTTCTTCTCTGAACCACCTTTCGCGTTTGATTTGCAACGCCATAAATTAAAAGGCTATGTGAAAGTGTGTTTCGTAGTAGTGTTATATGCCTTAGGTATTTCTAGGAATGTTTTTATATCAAGTGATGTTACTGCATCAACACAGGTTTCTGCAATACCGAGGTAAGGGACAACAAATCATGTATAGAACTTTTACGTGCAGTTGTTTTTGGGTGCTTTGCAGCGTAACATAATTAAGTGGTTTGATTTTCCATCTCCTTGCAGGTAAGGTACTCAAATTTCAGATGTCATGGGGAAGAGGGAGATAATAAACACGTGACTTCACAGATGTCACATTAAAAAAAATAATAAAAAGTAGTGGCATACAGTTATTTCATTAGTTTAACAGTGTTGCAGATCAAGCATTACATTAAGGAAATCCTGAAGACCTTAGATTTTGTTCAGGACAAAGTGTAAATGAAACTGAAAGCAGGTGTATGGAGCATAGTTACATCTTTTTCACTTGCAGACAAACTCTGAGAAGAGTGTGTGCTATCCTCTGTATTAGGAGCTGTTAGTTTTCTAAGTGCTTGACAGCCCCCAGGATCTCTGTCTCGGCATCAGAATGCTAAGATGTTCTAGTGCCCCTTTGTAGACACAATTTTGCAGCAAGGATGGATGCCAGGATTCCCCACAGCCAGGAAAATGAATTCATAAACGTGGAGGATATGTACTTCTGAGGCAGAAATTCTGGCTTTACAGCTTTCAATTGGAAGTTTACATTTATTGTGGGTACTTAGTTTCACATTTACTCGAGTAATAGCTCTTTAATCTCAAAGGGGAAAACTAAGCAACAAATGAGTAAACACGTCAATGTTTCACTTAAAGAATTTCAGAAAAGTGGAGTCAACTCTTAAGTTGAAAAACATAAGTTATTTCTAGGTTTTTTTCCCTCATTCAAAAGGAAACAAACAAAATACCTGTCTGTGAATTGGGAAAGCAAGTGAAGTTGTATGGAGCAGCTGGAACCCTTTTGCTTATATCTTTCTTAGTCTGAAATACTTTTCGAAGACTTTGAAATAAGATGCAATCTAGATGCAAGAGATTGTGAGGAATTTTTAATACTATGTTTTACCTTCAGAAAACTGCACTTTTGGTAAGCGTTTTTTTTTAATCAACAGTCTAGTGTTTGACATGTTGTGTGTTTTGATGGATGTTTTATGAGAAAGCTTCTGGTTTGCTGCATGCTATCTACATTGTCAGTGACGTGATGCAAATGAAGAGCTGGACACACTTGACTGGAAGAAACAAGACTGCAACTTTATTTAATAACAATAACTGCACAAGAGGAGCAGGCAGACAGTTCTTGCCAAGTTCTCATCTTGCTGTTTCTCTGTTTGACCTGCAAGCCACTAGGCATCCACTGTGGTCTAAAAGGAGCCACTGAACATTGTAAGACCCAACGGTCTCTTCAGAGATGGCATTCTTTTCCTGCCATTATAATGACACAGAACAACAGAAATGGTGTCAAAATTGCACACTGGATCTTGATCAACCAAATCTGAGATGCAGCAAGTTGAAACAAGTTATTTTCTCATTAATTTGTTCACTTTTTTACACTTGAACATATGTAAATTCACATTTTTTTCTAAAATCTCATTTTTTTGTGGAAGTCTTGTCAAACGTAGCTAAGTTCAGCAATAAATGATTATATGAACAGCATTTCTGCTGTAACGTGTGTTAAAATATAGCAGCCTCCCAGTGAGCAGACGCCAGGGAACATTTACTTTTTTCCTGGGAGTAGGAATACTACAATTTTTGCAGTTAAAACCTCTTCTTAAATATTGACATGAGTATGCTTTATCAGTGTACCAGTAAGGAGCTGTACCATAAAAAGGTTAACCTTTGCCAGACTGATCACAGGAAGCATAAACAAATTAATGTTAGTCCACCGAAAAAGAGCACAATTTACTAGGAAGTTCCAGTTTTTCAGAGTCTTAAATCCTGGACATCTCTGAAACATAGAGGATCAAAACCTGAATTTACCTACATACATCTGCACATCAACCAGTCTGGTGTAAACCACTGGATCTAAAGCATAATAAATTTTGTCATTTGGTCTTAGGTTATTGGTACTGTTTGTATTTGTCTACTTTGTGCTTTTTATGGTCCTAATCCTCTGTAAGAAGTATAAAAA